GCTACTGGTCGCTAGGCAAAAATGTTCTTATAATAGGCGCTGGCGATGCTCTTCATCTATACATATATTATAGCCGCTTGCCAGCGTCGTGTCCGGGCGCGCTTTTTGCTCTGCGCTGCGAACGAAGCGCGCGCGCCAACGAGCGAGAGGCAGTATCAAAAGTCACTTGACGCGCGCACGAGCGAGCGTCCTTATTACAAATTGTTTATCAAATTTAACAGGTTGCACATTCGAGCGTAATGGATTTAAAATTACGGCGTGCGCAGTTGACAATTTTTCATTAAGCCGAGTAAACGAGAAAAAAAAATTCTCGTTGCATTATAAATATATCGAGTTTAAGAAACTCATAATAAGCGCACACGCGCACGCACTGACGCACTGACTACACACGACTCGTTAAATGTATTTACCGAACTCGACGCGCGCCCGTGTGAGCCGCTGCTGTCATCACGCGTGTGCGCGCGAGCACTTCCTGTTGGAGTTAGCGTGTATTTTCGACCTAATGCACTCGAATAAATAAATGAAGAAAAAAAAGATATACACCACAGAGAAAAAGAGGATCGAGCCTGCAGGGAGTCGAGTCTCTCTAGCTCGTGGCGAAAAAAATTGCGTTTACTGTGTGTTGGCCTTTTTGGACCGATAATTTGCTTCGCCCGAGCTTGCGCTTGCTTCTTGCCTGCTGCCACACGCACTAATGCAATTTTGCGGCGCGCAAATGTTGACTTTTTATTCGAGGGCTGCGCGCGCTTACTCTGCTCGCGACAGAGAGCAAGATAGAGAGGATGCGATTTTTATCAAGTAACGTTCATAGCGCTACGTATAGCACTTTACGCTGTGGTTTGTTTTTTTTTGATGATACCGTGGCACACACGCACGCGTACAAACACAGTCTACGCGATAAGAGCTGTGTGTATTTTGACCGCTCAAAGACAAGACTCTCTTTACCTCTGTGTATTCGATGAATACGCAACGACATATTTTTGATTTTCCTCTTCTTTTGATACATCGTGAAAGAATGAAAAAAGGGATGGACTAATCCATAAACCAATTAGTAGTTTTTATAAACTCGCTTTGTGCAAGCTACTAATTTCATTGAATTTACGACCAAAATTTTCAATCTCGTAGGAAAGAATAGTCTCCACACTCTCGTGCGCACAAACACAGCGCAACGAAAGAGACATGCAAGATCGTGCCTCATGATTGATCGGAAAGCCTTAGACGCGCGTCGAGCAGAGCGACTCAAGACGACCGGAAAGCTCTTTGGATAATTTGTCAGGCTGCTTAGGGTCACGCAGCATCGCGCGCACACTACGTAGCGCGTTACAGTTTTGCAGAGCGCGATCATGCCTCTCGGCTAAAGGCACCCAAATCCAGGCTGCTTATTCATGTGTACCAGAGAAGGGTTATGCATAATACGTGTAAGGCCTAATCAGTCCTTTGCGCGCGATTCTCCGCTTCTCGGCGCGCGCGCACATTCTGTATATAGTGAACGAGCACCGAAAGCACACGTCTCGTTAATCTAGGGGCTTATGGCTGTATAACTATACGCAATATAACGCGCTATAAGTCCGGATGCAAGCTTGAGTGGTTAAGATTTTGTAAAAGAGTGACATTTCGCTCCAAGAATTTTGAGCCTCGTATATGCCCACTCTCCGTCTGGCTGTCTCTCCCTCTCTCTTTCTATTTTAGCCTTGAGCGACGTTATCGTCGTATACATGTTCATTCGCTAAATAGTCGAACCGTTAACAGAGAGGGTGAGAGAGAGAGAAAAAAATTCCAAGCTGAAAAATCGAGCGCAGCATAAGCTCAATTCGATATCAGAAGGGCATTATGCATTTAGACGAAAGTAATAAATTTCATAGGATATATATATATGGTAGGTGCGCGCGACGACAGTAATAAAGTTTCCGCGAAGTCTGCAGCCCGTCCGTTATAAGACCTTAAAGGCACGGGTCGTCGATTGCTGCAAACTCTTTTTCTCGCGAAAGCTCGCGCGTTCGCTCTCTCTCTCACTCCCTCTGGCTCTTTCTTTCTGTAAAACGTGTCTATATAAGGTCAGAGGACGTTTTTCAAGACACACTTTCCGCTGCCATGCTTTTTCCTTTAACGTCGTGGCGTCGACGTCACCACTGTCGGCGTCGTCGTCGTACTTCCTTCATTTCCGGGCAAGGGGGCGAGGAGGGTACAGCGGGAGGAAAACTGCCGATTACTCGCCACCCGACTTGATTCGTATAAGGAACTGCTTTTCTGACCAGCTACGCTCGTCGCGAAAGGCAACTCTTTGTAAGAGACCTCGAGAGCACAAAAAGAAAAGAAAGAGGGAATTTAACGAGACGTCACTTTTCTTTTCCAGACCTCATTATCAGACGTCACGTGGGCACAGATATCGAACCAATCGATCTGCGATGTTTCATCGAAAAAGCTATATAGATAACTTCACGGACAGAAATGCTGTGAGTAACTTCTGAAATAAATAATTTTCTCCGATTCTGCTCGCAGACAAAAATACTTTATTTTTCACCTGCAAAGTATATAACTGTGTCTTTCTCATTCTCGACTATTGGGCGCACGCACGCGCAAAGACTTATCCATTAGAATTGAAGTTAAACTTAATTTGTGAGAATAAACCAAGTTTGAAAGTTAAGGAATGGTAATCAAGAGAAGTTTATTATTCAGATAGTGGCTCTGAATTAGAATAGTGTATGAATCACCTGGTCGTTTTAATCAGATCCTTTTTTTTACTTTTTATGTGAAGTTAATACTGCATTTATTTCGTTTGATGATTTCTCTAGATAATTTAATCATGACTTTGATTTGAGGAAACGTATAAAATGGATAAATCGTATATGTCGATCGGTTTTCCAATTACTTTGGTGCATCAGATACTTTCATGTAATTATTTTGTTGATAAATACGTTTCATCAACGAAATTTACGGTCCATAAATGAATACTATATTCGCATGTACTTATATCGAATTTGTTATTTGCCATGTTAACAATAACGCACATTCAAGTTACATCTATAGCATCTACATACATAACTCGAAGACACGCCGGTCGTATCAATAGAAAATATTTATTTGATAAAGATTGCAGCAATCAGCGTTACGCTGTTAGCTGGAAATAAACAAACGACATGAAAAAAATTTCTTTGCCACTAGACCACGAAGCTAAATTTCTTACACGGCATTATCAATGAGAACGAGGATCTATCTATATACCTACCTAGATACAGAAGGAGCATTAGTCTGTCAGTAACGATAAATTCGCACCCTGTCAATCAGCCCACGAGGAAACTTGGCCTGAGTCAGTCTCAGGGGCTTTTCGATTGTACATTATATACGCACACATATACACATACACACGCACACAAGCACTGATAGGAGGCGATGCCGAGAGTATCCCTCGCTTTTTATTCGACGAATAACAAGGAATTTGTGTTAGAGGGCGGCTTCCTGCGTCTAGTGCGAATACGATACGGGCGGAAGGCATGTAAATTGATTGACGAGAATGATTTGTTATTTTTTAGCCCAAAAGCTCAGGATAGCGGGGAATTGTTCGAGTTGTTGTATCGCATTTCTGCGTGTATTGCCACGGCTTTGGAGAGAAAAAAAAGGCAGGAAAATTCATCATCGGCACTCCGGTAATTCGATTCGCATTATGAATATGAGTCGCGATGTATGGAAGATTAATCACTCACGACTGGTTTCTATGGGAACTGGAGGAAATTTGCGTCAATTCACTTTACACGCACACACACACACGTCAGGGTTCCCGTCTCCCCGGCACATACACTCGTGGGCGTCGTCGCAACCAGCCACCATACACACCTCTACCCATTGAGCTTTTCATCCTGAACATACATTCTATACGCGCACAGTGTGGAGCTCTATATGTGTGTACAAACCCTGCAGCCGAAGCAGTAAAGTTTCTCAGAAAATGCGCCTTTTTATATACGTACTTAGCACAATGTACATAGAGCTTGCACCTTCTGCCGTGCCCTCCAGTAATATAGGTGAATTCCTGCTGCTACTGCTGCCAGCACCGACGTTATATATACGCGTCCATCTATACCCCCCGCCCTGTGCTTGCACAAGGAAAATTATGTATGGTTGAAAGTGCTATTTTATTTACTTTTCTTCAGACAAATAAATTTGCTGTTTCACTCATAGTGACCGGACTAGTTGTTTCTTTTACTCCCTAACAACATCTAAAACGTGTACGTTTAGTGTAAAAATATTATTAGTAATTTGTAACTTTTACCAAAGTATATTTTTATTTTACTTTTAAGCAACAACCATGTCTGTTATTATTAAAAAAATGTGAAACATAATTTTACTTTAATATCTTTTAAATACGTATCATACCATTAATATATTCAAAGGACTCATCCTAGCTGATTTTATTTCATAATTATCTTCGTTAACAAAGTAACCGACGGTGCGAAAATGAGGTTTACCACACGTATTGCTTTAATATACGAATATTGTATAAGGCGAGGTACCTATTAAAAATATTAAATCCCTAGCTGTTTACGACCTTACACGTGTAAAATGATTCTGTACATGAAAAAGGAAAAAATGAACTATATAAAAAAATCTGAAAGCTTCGACCAAAAAGCTGGCGACAAAGTCAAACTTAATTTCTGGGCGAAACCCGAGCAATGGTTGCGCGCGTTATATATTGTACGCACGCAACGTAACACACATACACACTAAGAGTGCTGCCCATGGCAAACGCCTGCCTGGAACGAAATCAGCCAAAAAACTAAAAGCCCTTTGGCTTTCACGCGTATGAATATATGTATATGTGTACACACGGAATGGACATAAATGAAAGCGTCAAAGGCTGCTTTTTCCGCAGCGTTTGCGGTTCTCGAGATAACTCAGTCGTGGCCAGCGCGCGTTAAATTCACCTCTTTTTACAAAAGCACGCGTCTCGCTTGCTGGCAATACTTTGACACACGTGTATATATGCAGTATAATTATGTCGCGCTTACCTTTCCATCTGGACTGCATACTTTGATACCGGCTAGAGAGACTATCAGCAATACGGGCGTCGGTTGGTCCTCGCTCTGAAAGAAAGGAAAAATTATTTTACACACCTTTCGCCTTAATGAAATTCATTGAGATAATAATGATGCTTACAAAACTAATAAATTAACGTATGTACGCGTGGCTGTCGTTAATTTGAATTCAACTGTAAATGTGGCGACCGGCTGCGATTGATTTCAATCAATGCATTGAAATGCCGAACGTAACAATAGCATGTCTGTTCCGCAGTGCATTGTTTACGAAATCAAAGTTAATAGAATATTTGATCGATATGCCTATTGAAGAGATGTTACAATTCATATTTGTATTCATGTAGATGTGCCAATACAAATTAATTTTCATTGTTGTGGCTTTAATGTCAAAGCCATAAGTATGCATGGCCGTTTATTTGTAGTAAACATATGTGGTTAACAAAACTGAAGAGTTAAAATCTCAAGTAATTTTAATACAGTTTGCGATTTCATTTTCCAGTTTTATATAATTATAGTAAAAAAAAGTAATATTACTTTCAGTTAAAATATGTTGTTTCAGTAACTTGGTAGAAATTCTCAATATTGATAATGGCCTAATGATGTAAAAAAGACAATAAAATGTCTTAAAATGAATAACATTAATTGGCTTTTTTGGCAATTTTTCTGTTACAATTATATTAAAAATATTAAGTGCATTTTAAAGATTCTGAAAATGACAGTTTGATCGTTTCAAAAAATTTAGGCTAGTTTTCAACCACTTTAAATACGATATTACCACTAGATGGCGAGTACCTTTTGTGTGTAAACCTGCAAGTGGCAAAGTAAAGATAATCGTATAAGCAAAAGCACGGGTTCGAAAAAGTTAATAACAGAATAAAGAAGTTCATAGCAAAATAAGTAATTTGGTACATTATTTTCTTATTACAAATTTACGTGCTTATGATTAAATGCATCATGATACTATCAAAATTGTTCTTACATAGAAATTCTGCAAATACGCTCATGTAATCAGTTCAACAAAGCTCGAATGAGTAAAGTAACGACCACACTGCCGTCGTCATCATCCACTCCCCGAAATAAACAAAGCACTCAGGCTTATTCCTCGAGCAATGTCAACACACATTCCAATCCACCACAACGTATTTACTCACAGGAGCTGCAACAATTATTAATACATACAGAAAGAGAAAAAGGAAAAAAAATTCTGAGCGCCGCTTACATTTAATAATGAGTAGTGTACGCACGCAGTGTATATAGAATAACTTGGCAATATTATCTTGGTGCTTTTCGCGTTTATAGATACATGCAATGGTACAATTACGAGCCAGCACATGCCTTAATAAGATTATACGCTTTCCGTGGGTGAACAATTTTTTTTTTCGTTGCGTACAGGTATACATTTATTAAACATGTAATCTTGTAGTGGTATTGCAATTAGGAGGGCTTTTTGTCGGTAAAAAAGGCAGTTTCTTTTATTAAAATTCTTACGGGCCGTTTGCATAATTTGACGGGAAGCTCATATCATATACGCACTAGGAGAAAAATGTCTGCTGAACATTTTAATATAGCGAGAAGTGCTTTTCTGCCCGTGGATATGTGCACGATGCGCAGGGAGGCTCGCAAGCGCGTGTTTAGACTTCTGACGCGTAAAAAAGGTAAAATTTTGAAAAACTTTTTGCCTGGGGTAGGAGGAGGTGGAGGGGGTAGCGCGTAACAGAGTGAAATGCATAAATGTTGCGGTTCAAATGATGCTTGAGGGATAATGAGCATGTTAGAGCTTTGAGTATACTGTAGGCGAATGAGCATGTAAACGCACAAGTTGCAAACACGAACCCTGCATGCGAAAATAAGCCGATCTCGTGTAAGTAAAACTGTAACTCGGGCATAGTTCAATGTTTTTCAGCGCTCACGAACTATAATTTTAATTTTTCTGTCTAAAGAGGCATCGCGAGCAGCCCTGCACGCGCGCGCGCACTCGTTCCATCTTCTGTGCATCGCTCTGACTCCGTTGCATGGGGCGGCAGCTCACACACACACGCGCGCGCTCATACACATACCATCCGAGCCGGGTTACACTGCAACTCAAAAAGTCACTGACCGAAAACAACGGTGTGCGCGCACGTGAACGTCAAGCATCGCGCAGCGAGCTCACCTGCGAATTTTCGCAGAAGACGAGAGGAAAACACTTTTCACGGTTTTTTATTTGCACGCCCCCGGGGTGTCGAAATTAATTTCAAAAAATAGGAAAAAAACCAACCACTCGATGAAAAAGGATATTAGCAGAGAGAGCTCACCGAGTCGCAAAGTCTAGAACATGTGGCGTTGCTTTCGGCTAATTTCAAGGATTGAAAAGTTGGCGATGCTTTTGTGGCTAGAAACTGTACGACTCTGCAGTCCCGCACATACACATACACACACACGTAGTATTCTTTTGTTGAAAAACTAAAAACCACTCGACATGTGAGAATTCCCGGGAATTTCACCTAAACCTCTAGAACTTTGATGTTGTTTTGACGTATAGTTGCAGGTTTGAAAATATATTTTTTGATAATACCTGGTGATAATTTTTCCAAAAATTCATCATAAAAATTGTTCTTTGACTATTTTAACGTTCGGTACTCTCATTAAGTGCTTACATACTAATGCTTAGTTCGGTGCAAGCTCTATGAAAAATTCTTAGTTAAAAAGCCTTGTATGGATAATCCCACAAGCCCAGCACTATTTCTAGTGTCAACAGAGTACATTGTTCTATCTCGCAGTATAGCTTCATCTATCTATATCTTCTCCCTGCCAGCTTGTCCGAAGTAGTCCGGGTTCATCGCTTAGGTCGGGCGCCCTGCACGAAGGGCCAAATACACGCACGTGCGCAAGCTCTAAGCCAGAAAAGGACTGCACAAGAGAACTTTTTTCCTCTCCTCTCAGCCAGCGTGGCCTCTCGACTTGATCCCCTTCAACGGGTCATGTGTCGCTGCGGAGGTACGACTATCTTTGTTCAATCTTTCGTCGGTCCTACACCACTTACCCACATTTGCATAAACGGCGTGCGCGCGTGGTCACAAAGATCGTCGGATACGTATTATACGAGCTGGGCGAACCACAAAGGATAAAAGAACGTATTTATTTCACGGTTCGGGCGAAAAACGCGTACCTCTTTTTTAATAGAGCCAGATAAACGTAGGAACGTGCATGATGAGTTTGCATGCACCAGAGCGCCTGAACGAACGACGATCTTGACTACTTATTCCTAGAGAGTGCAGAGATGTATACAATTTACAATGTAATGTTATTTTTTGAGACTTTCTAATTCTAACTCTAATCATGCGATCAACAATCGAACGAGCGAAGCTTGAAGCAGATATTTAGCCTATAAGTGGATAGAAAATTGCTAAATTTTTTAATGTCTTGAAACTCGTGGCGAAACGAACAAACTTTTTTTCCAAGTCTTCATAATTATTTTTTATACTTTTAAATATCCACATATTTTCAGATTTTTATCTGCGGATAGACGCAGGTTTTATTTTAAAGCCCTTACAATTTCGAGAAGAAGGAAATGTGCTACGAAGATTGATTGCGAGTGTATTCATTCTTTTATAGAGAATAGAATATCAATATCAATTATAATAGAATATCAATTATAGAAAATAGAAATTGTTAAAGTAGCAATCGTTATTATCAAATTTTCAATATATGGTAGTAGATTTATTAGAGCAAATAATGAACAAGGTGAAAATGTCGATTTAGCAAATTTCCTCATTCCAATTGATTTTACTTGAATATAACTACGAATCATTATTTTTCACGTTCAGAATCGATTATGACATCTAGTGGTTTAATTTGAAGCTTATCCCAATGAAGGAATTAATTGCATCTCGAAGTCAGGATTAAAATCAATTTTCGAATCCCATTTTCAAAGAATTTTCCTAAAATGTTCTATCTTTACTTTAATGTTTACTTGAACATCTTAAAGACTTTAAAAATAAGATTATGGCAACATTACCTCCTGAAGTCCTCGTACTCAATGCCCCTAAAGAAGTTTCACGTCAAAATAGATTGAATTAGTTTTTCACTAGAAATTTTAGAATTAATCCGCTCAATTGGTGAGCTTTCGAATTACTGCCACGAGCTCGTACATCCGTGCAAGAGTCAATCTCCGAAAGCGAGTACGAAGATCGCAGTTCCGTTTATATGTGCGCGAGTGTGTGTGTTAGCCGTCATTCGGGGGTGCATGAATTATTCAAAATCGTGCCGTCGACATCAATTGCGAATTCGTACGTATGCATGTATGTGTGCACAAGTGGGGCACCGCATAACGTATACGTAAACGTATAAACGAACGTTTTTCGAGATCGACAGGCCGGCCCGCAAGAGTAATTTCTATCTTTGATTGAACGCCACAATTCTCTCTCGCTCTCTCCCTCTCTCGCTCGATGGCAGCTTCTCCAGCTCTTTACGTCACTTTTCATTAAGCTAAAAATTCCATCTGGCCACTCAGCGACTTCTCTGATTTTAACTCTTTGCATTAAACTTGCAGCGATCGCATAAAGTATCCGCGAGAGAGCTCACGATTTTTTGGCTCTCGCCCGCGCGCACTTCCCCGTACCTACGTAAAGTCTTTCTCTCTACTTGTATGTGCTTCCGCGCGAGCGACTCACGACTCAGCCACAGAACGCACACGCCACGCATTTTCTCCCCTATATGCCGTATAATATGTAAGGCGCACTATTAAGCTAACCCCAATCAAAACAAATCTCTGCCACTTAGATATCCATATAGGGATCGCGTGGATGCTTGCTTGTATACGGTGGCACTGCTAGAAGTTTCCCCGATCGTTCCCCCGGCTCTAAGCGGCACGCAATATTTATATCCTAAATGCCTTAGCCACGTCAACAGAGCTATAAAAGCCGCATCTCGAATCGAATCTCTCGCTGGGCTTCTTACTTGGCTGAGCGCGCTATTATTGTTATGGATCGGCATTATTGTTATTAAGTAAAAGAGAGGACGCGTTAGCGCGCATAAACAAACGGCGTTTAACGAAAATTCCATCCTCG